TATCATATCTACTATTGTGGGCAAGAATCCCGTAGAAGGAATGGAGTAACCCTCATAGTCAACAAAAGAGTGGGAAAGGCTGTACTGGGATATAATCTCAAAAATGATAGAATGATTTAAATACGAATCCAAGGCAGACCTTTTAACATCACAGTAATTTCAGTCTCCAACCACCAATGCTGAGGAGACTGCAATTGACCAATTCTATGAAGACTTACAACACCTTCTAGAACTGACACAAAAGAAAGATGTTATTCTCATTATATGGGATTGGAATGGTAAAGTACGGAGTCAAGAGATAAAAGGAACAACAGGGAAGTTTGTCCTTGGAGATCAAAATGAAGCAGGGCAGAGGCTAATAAAGTTTTGTCAAGAGAACAAGCTGGTTATCACAAACACTCTTTTCCAACAACACAAGAGGCGGCTCTACACATGGAAATCACCAAATGGGCAATACCGAAATCAGATTGATTATATTCTCTGCAGCCAAAGATAGAGAAGCTCTATACAGTCAGCAAAAACAAGAACTGGACCTGATTGTTGCTCTGATCCTCAGCTTCCTATAGCAAAATTCAAGCTTAAACTGAAGAAAGTAGGAAAAACCATTGGGCTAGTCAGGTATAATCTAAACCAAATCCCTTATGAATACACAGTGGAAGTGAAGAACAGATTTAAGGAACTTGATATGGTGGACAGAGTGCCTGAAGAACTATGGATGGAACCCCGTAGCATTGTACAGGAGGCAGCAACAAAAACCATCCCAAAGAAAAGGTAATGCAAGAAAGCAAAGTGGTTGTCCAACGAGACCTTACAAATAGCAGAGAAGAGAAGGGAAACAAAATGCAAGAGAGATAGGGAAAGTTACAGAAAATTGAATGCAGACTTCCAAAGAATAGCAAGGAGAGACAAGAGGGCCTTCTTAAATGAACAATGCAAAGATAGAGGAAAACAATAGGAAAGGAAGAACCAGATATATGTTCAGGAAAATTGGAGACATTGAAGGAACATTTTGTGCAAAGATGGACATGATAAAGGACAAAAATGGTAGGGACCTAACAGAAGCAGAAGATATCAAGAAGAGGGGACAAGAATACACAGAGGAATTATACTAGAAAGATTTGGATATCCCGGACAACCTAGATAGTGTGGTTGCTGATCTTGAACCAGACATCCTGGAGAATGAAGTGAAGTGGGCCTAAGAAAGTATGGCTAACAACAAGGCCAGTGGAAGTGATGGCATTCCAGTGGAACTATTTAAAATCTTAAAAGATGACGCTGCTAAGGTGCTACATTCAATATGCCAGCAAGTACAAGCTGGATTTCGAAGGGGCAGAGGAACTAGAGACCAAATTGCTAACATGCGCTGGATTAAGGAGAAAGCCAGAGAGTTCCAGAAAAACATCTACTTCTGATTCATTGACTATGCAAAAGCCTTTGACTGTATGGACCACAGCAAACTATGGCAAGTCCTTAAAGAAATGTGAGTGCCTGACCACCTTACCTATCTCCTGAGTAACCTATACGTGGGACAGGAAGCAACAGTTAGAACTGGATATAGAACAACTGATTGGTCCAAAATTAGGAAAGGAGTACGACAAGGCTGTATATTGTCCCCTGCTTATTTAACTTATGCAGAATACATCATGTAAAATGTGGAGGAATCCCAAACCAGAATTAAGATTGCCGGAAAAAATATCAACAACCTCCAATATGCAGATGATACCACTCATGGCAGAAAGTGAGGAGGAATTAAAGAACCTCTTAATGAGTGTGAAAGAGGAGAGTGCAAAAAACAGTGTGAAGCTCAGCATCCAAAAAAAAAAAAAAAAAAAGATCATGGCCACTAGTCCCATCACCTCCTGGCAAATAGAAGGGGAAGATATAGAGGCAGTGACAGATTTTATTTTCTTGGGCTCCATGATCACTGCAGATGGTGACAGCAGCTCTGAAATTAAAAGACACCTGCTTCTTGGAAGGCGATGACAAATAGTATATAATAGTAGACAGAATAAATATGAATGGGAGAAACATGCAATTTATCAGATTAGCCTTTTCATTTGCATTAGGAATGGGCAAACCCTGAACGTCTGCACTTAATTGCATCTTTGTTGTTTCATTTCAGATCCATTGTGGTGGTGTACAGAAGCCAGAATTATAAAAATTGTTTCAGTGTCTAATTCTTTCTGGAGCTAACTGTATATACAGGCATCTCCAATGTACAATATGGTTCATGTATAAAACCTTCACAATGCAGACCTTCCCATACTGGGAATTAAAGTAAATTCCAATTGCCAAAAATCTTGATTATGGCCTGGTTTCATCGAACATGATGGATTTCTTGTGGGTTTCAGAATGTCAGATGAGGAAATATTTTTTGTTATGCCAAAGAATGAGTGATGCCATATTTGTTTGTTTATCATTAGTTGTTTTGCCATTTCCACTATAGAAAAGTGGCAAAATTGATTGTCTTGCAATTACAAGTTGTATGATAACAAACAATTTACTTTTTAGGAAAACAAGAATATCAGATGGGCATCCAGGTGGGATTACATTTTAGAATCAATGCCACATACACATATACAATGGTTCAGGTGAGGATACAATTTTAATTTTGTAATTCATTGCATTGAAGTATTCGGGAGGAGATAGTTACTAATTTTATTTCTTTCATCTTGCTTCTTTATAGTATTATGAATTCTTTGGTAATTGTCCTTTTCCTCTCTGGAATGGTAGCCATGATCATGTTAAGAACTCTGCATAAAGACATTGCAAGATATAATCAGATGGACTCTACTGTAAGTATGTTTTTTTGAAAGCAGCATTTTCCAGTTGGTGAAGAATATCTTAATTTTTTGCAGCCCTTAAAAGGTATCATGTACATTCCAATGTTATAATATCTCTTAATTATGTAATTACCTTTGTCTCAGCCACGTCCTATTCTTGACCAGCTTGTTAATGACAAGATCATTAACTGCATTGTGTCCAAATAGCCTTATTTTGCCTCAAGTGCTTTAGTCAGGATAACAAAGTTTTATTTGTAAATAAGTTCTCTAATCTCCAATTCTGTAAAGTCATATAAACCTACGATGGTTCTAACAGCATTTTGTATTATGACATCATATTATAAAACAGAGGTCCCCAACCCCCGGTCTGCGGCCCATTGCCGGTTCGTGGCCTGAGCCGGACCAGGCTGCCAAGACAGACCTCCCACCGCCCACGCACACCCCCCCCACACAGCCAATTTGCGGCTGCGCGTGGATTACAGTATGCCCATGCGAGCGCCACGTTGCGTTTGCACATGTGCACGAGAGCATGTGCACCCAGACAAGCACCGCATCGCCGTTTGTGCATGCATACAAGCGTGCCTGTGCGAGTGCAGGAGATGCTCTGCCTTCCCCAGCCAGTCCGCGGAATGAAAAACGTTGGGGACCGCTGTTATAAAACATCTGTAAAAGAAAATGGCAACATAGCCTATTCTGTTACTGCAAATCCCTTACCTTGAAATAAGCATATTAACAATGGAGCTTAGTAGGAGGGAGAGTATTTAGTAATTGGCTGCTAATACTTTCGTTTCACATATAGGAAAAGAAACTAAAGAGTGACCAAGCAAAGCATTTATTTTCTCCCCCTCTTTGTTTTCTTCTTATCTTTCCAGCCTGAATAGGACTTCTTGAAAAAATTAAAATTGTACTGCATCATAAGTAGACTTCTGGTCTCTCTTCCATTTCTTAAGTGGTATTTGAAGTCCCAGAGCATAGGGGACAGGGGAGCAGTTGAGGAGAGATGCACGCTAGAGGAAAACATTTGATTAAATTAAATGTTCTGCCAAAGCCAGACTGTGCTGAGAGGAGAGACCATGTCATAAGGAAGCTGGAGCATTTTTATGTATTTTAAGGGCGACCCTTAACTTAAAATACAAACGCTTTCCATAGAGGGATTAAAAGAACAAAGCACAGCAACTTAATTTGCATGTCACTTGTTAGTTCCCTGGATAATGATGTTTGAATCCTTGCATTGTTGTAGGCTTAGCCGAGCCACTAGGAAAATATCCTTTTTTATTTGTTTGTAGATGTCATGTATACAGATTGCTTATGGGCAGGGTGGCATTGTTATACGTACAGAATTCTAGAGATATATCACTGGAATGTTTGTAACAGGAGTAATTCTCAGCTATATGACACGCTAAACTGACTTCCTTCCCTTTCAGGAAGATGCCCAAGAGGAATTTGGCTGGAAACTGGTTCATGGTGACATATTTAGGCCTCCAAGGAAAGGAATGCTGCTTTCTGTATTTCTAGGCTCTGGAACACAGATTTTAATTATGACTTTTGTTACTCTGTGTAAGTTCAACATAAAAAGGCATATGGGTAAAAGAATGTTGTCTTAATTCTTAAGCCTCATAGTTTGGGTGAACAGAAATGTGGAATTTGCTTATGGTTCCCTCCTCCGCCTTCCACCACTTGTGGACATTTCCCCTTCCTCCTAGTTTTATACAGTATACTGTTATGGCTATTAGTGCATTTTCTGCTGCTCTTGTTACAGCGAATCATTGCAAACCAACATGTAGACTTTTTAACCATGGTTTCAAACTGGCTTTGATGTTAACTCCTGTCAGCGACTGTGTCAACATGATCCTGGTGCACTGTGGCTAGAAATCAGCAAGATGACATCTGTACTGATCTTCAGTATATGAAATTGTTGTTATTGTTACATGCTGTCAAGCTGTAAGCAATGTACAACAACTTAAGTAGGTCTTTCGAAGTAAGTGAGGTATTTAGGGAGTAGTTTTCCCGGTTTTACACCCCCAGTGAGTTTCCATGGCTCAGCAAGCTCAGGTCTCTTGAGTCCTAATCTTCCACCCTGTCCACTACATCACACTAGGTATCTAGATATATGAAATAACTAGAGTAATAATTGGAAACTTTTAGAAAAAAGGGAAGGAAGAATAATCCATTAACTTTGCTAGCTGTCAGTAGCTAATCTCTCCATTAACTGCTACTGTATCAGCTCAGCTGTGATCCCAGCCCCAGAAATCCTAGATCCTTTTGATTCCTTCTCATGAACATTGTGTCTCTTCTGATCCTCTAAGAACTTCATAATTTTAAGAACTGGTGCTTCAATTTATTTGTTTTGTCCTTGCACTTCATTACTTTCCCCTTCTATATCTTAGAATTTCTGGTGGCAGTATATGTCTTATATTCTTACTGATCTGTAAGTCGGTCTGTGATTCATTTTGGGTGAATAGTAAACAATCCTTTAAATAATCACCTATTTATAATGTTTTAAATAAAACAAATCCTTGATAAAAAAAGGTATTGCCCACTTATTCCTAGGCATTACATAGAGTACGTGCAGATGAGGTCATCATGTCAGACATACACCCCCTCAACATTGTGTGTCTGCTTTTTGCAGTCTTTGCTTGCTTGGGATTTCTATCACCTGCAAATCGGGGGGCGTTAATGACCTGTGCTGTTGTCTTATGGGTGCTGCTTGGAACCCCGGCAGGTTATGTTGCTGCTAGGTTCTACAAATGTAAGTATAAAAGTTTATTTAATGTGACAGCACTTAAGTTCATTAGTCTAAATTATCATCACAGCAGTGATGTTTTCCCCTCTAATTCTGTTTTGCCCTCTAGGCAATTTAGAGAAATGTTTTAGATTGAAGGGAGACTGAATGGAGGTTTAGATCATTTTTATACTAGTAAACTTTCAATTTGACTATACTTTTTATTACATAAACTCTACTGTCAGTTGAATCATTCTAAGGAAGGGGGAGGAGGGATAACTGACATCACATTGATATGTAAATCAGAGTATTAGTGTCTTTTGAAATTGCATTGTGTTTTATATGCAGCATTTGCAATTGCTTTGTTTTCTTAGTTTTATATTAACCTCAGATGAAAATAAGTGCCACATTCAGTTAACAATAGAATCTGCTTTACTAAGTATCTCAATCAGTGAGTGCGTTTATGTTGGCATGTATACAGTGCTGCTTACACTGTGCATCCAATATGTAAACTCTATTAGCCAGTTAATTTTAAATGATCTTAATCTGAACATCACTGTCAGTGAATAAATTGACAATTCAGACAATAAGATGGGAATGTTAAGCAATGATGATACCAAAACTCAGTCTCATATTTTAGAAACATAAACTGGCAGTAATTTACTATAATTGATGCAGTCTTTCGATTTTATTCTAATGAAACTGAAGAATAAAATGCCAAAAATTAGCTTCAATAAGAATTCAATGGCCTACATAAGTTGTTCAAAGAAATTGAATAGTACGTTTGTAAGTAATGCCCTTGCCTGAATTTCACTAGTGTTTTCTGTTTGGGTTTGTTTTTATACAGCATTTGGAGGTGAGAAATGGAAGACTAATGTTCTGCTGACAGCCTTCCTTTGCCCTGGGTAAGCTCATTCTTGTGATTAATGTTAAATTTTATCTGTTTATAAGTTTAGCTACAGTATGTAACACCTCCTGACAAATAGAAGGGGAAGATACGGAGGCAGTGACAGATTTTACTTTCTTGGGTTCCATGATCACTGTAGATGGTGACAACAGCCACAAAATTAAAAGATGCCTGCTTCTTGGGAGGAAAGCAATGACAAACCTAGACAGCATCTTAAAAAGCAGGGGCATCACCTTGCCGACAAAGGTCCACATAGTCAAAGCTATGGTTTTTCCAGTAGCGATGTATGGAAGTGAGAGCTGGACCATAAAGAAGACTGACCACAGAATAACTGATGCTTTTGAATTGTGATGCTGGAGGAGACTCTTGGGAGTCCCCTGGACTGCAAGGAGAAGAAACCTATCCGTTCTGAAGGAAATCAACCCTGAGTACTCACTGGAAGGACAGATCCTGAAGCTGAGGCTCCAATACTTTGGCCATCTCATGAGAAGAGAAGAACTCCCTGGAAAGACCCTGATGTTAGGAAAGTGTGAAGGCAAGAGGAGAAGGGGATGACAGAGGACGAGATGGATGGACAGTGTAGTTGAAGTGACCAGCATGAATTTGACCCAACTCCAGGAGGCAGTAGAAGACAGGATGGCCTGGTGTGCTCTGGTCCATGGGGTCACGAAGAGTCGAACATGACTAAACAACAACAACAAGTAACACCTTAATATTATTTTTGTTCTTGTTTTTCATAACTTTTGATTACTATTGCTACCTGAAAGGTTGATTAAGCAGTACCAGCATGAAAAACATACGGGGTTGGGGTGGGCTGGCAGAATATATTTTGATTTATTTTTCGTTTCATTCCATAGGTCATTCCTCCGGTCACACTATAGTTGGTCTTATCTAGTGTCATGAAGTGTACAGTCCCTATGTTAAATCTTTTGGCTTAATCGCAGCAAGCAGCCATCCCCTGAAGTGTAGTTAAGACAGACATATATTTGGAGCTATTTAGTTGAAATGTCAGCTCCTGCTGGAGTACAGTCCTGTTAGATTAAGGAAGAAGGGCTTAGTTGACCTCTTTGCCTGGTATTTCCTGTATGTCACCATGGCTTAATGCTAAGCTAGACATACAGTAATATGATTTCAGTAACATTGAAACTAACCAAGTGTGAGATATTACTTTAAAATCCTGTCTCTCTTTCAGCATTGTGTTTGCAGACTTTTTTATCATGAATCTGATTCTTTGGGGCGAAGGTTCCTCAGCAGCCATTCCATTTGGCACTTTGGTTGCTGTTCTGGGACTCTGGTTTTGCATATCAGTACCACTGACATTCCTTGGAGCCTACTTTGGTTTTAAAAAGAATGTAAGTAACATGTCTTTTTACTAATATGGGTATATAGTTTGAGAGGGGAAATGTACATTTGACCTTCCTGCAAAATAAATGCTGGATCCCGTTCCTTTAAAAGATTGTGGATGGGGTCATGTTTGCATTGAATAATTGAGTTGTATACTTAAAATGTAATCAAATTATTGCATTCCTCTGTTCCAGACAGAAAGCCTGGAAAACTTGGCCAAATTCAAAACACGCAAAGAAATCTGTTCTGAATGTGACTAATCTTATTCAGTAAATCTACCTGTTGTACTGGAATCTTTGATTCCAGATTTTTCTTGTATTGCTTTCATTGTTCTGGGAATCTATATGATTCTAAACTATTTTGAGTAGGTAGGTAATTCTGTTCATGGTGTTAAATACATTTCACATTTTTAAAATATTCTTCTCTGTTCCATTTAAATCTCTTTAAAAGGCCATAGAACATCCTGTTCGTACCAATCAAATTCCTCGTCAGATTCCTGAACAGTCGTTTTATACGAAACCATTACCTGGCATTGTTATGGGAGGCATTCTACCCTTTGGATGTATCTTCATTCAACTTTTCTTCATTCTTAATAGCATATGGTAAGACTCTTGAATGTTTGGTCTCCTCTAAAGTACTATTACTTCCTTTTCTTAAAAAAAGACAATGCTTTGATTTCATGGAAAGCCTATTTATTCTTCTTGGCTTATCAGCAGTATGGCTGTTGGATTCTGGGAAGTTCTTACATGAAACTACCTGGTATAGACCTTGACTTGAAGCACTTAGCTGATCAAATTTTACCAAAATGCTACTGGATTTGTAGCTTGGGCAGTCACGGTTTAGGTTTGGCTTTAGTTGTTCAGTTAATAATTGAGTTTGAGGACCAAGTTGTCATTTGGCAAATCATAACACCAGAGTAATCTGCTCAGCTCTTAGCACCTCTGGCTACGGATTTCAGTGCTCTGATGATAAAAAGCCCTGTAAGCCTTCAGACTTTTTTTGGGAGGGTAGCATCTCTGTCTCTGTATATTGAAAAATTCATCCACAATTTTCTGCTAAATGAAAAACTCAAGTGGATATGTGTCATAGTCCTTTAGATTATTTAATGTGGATGCAGTTCTGGTTGCTCTTTGTGAAATAGAATGGCTAGATAAAGCACAGAATTTACAGCATTTAAAACTTAGTATTCAATTTGTTATCTTTAAATTTGTTTTCTAGGTCACATCAGATGTATTACATGTTTGGCTTCCTGTTTCTGGTGTTTATTATTCTGGTTATCACATGCTCAGAGGCTACTATTCTACTTTGCTATTTCCATTTGTGTGCAGAGGTAGGTCTACACAAGAATATGTTTTCACAAGATGATCCAACAGGTTATGTTTTCTCTGGAATTAAAACAACCTAAAATAAAGATCCTGATTCTCTGTGTTCAGGCAGCTCCAAGAAAAATGCAGGGTGGTAAAGCATTTAGGAAGGAGTAGCACCAAGGATAGCTCCCAATAAGCATTGCGCTTTGTTGATGGCTGTAGTGTAGTTGAACTACAGTCTCTTATATTGCTTCACCTTTTATCACAGTGTACCAAGGCTTAAAGGAACAACTCCCTGGGCTCAACCCAGGCACTTCTTCGAGAGTTCCTGCTGGCATGCTTCTGATGCTGGCATACTGACTCCTAAGACTGTGGAGCTGCATTCAAGTTTCAGAGTGCTCCAAGATTGTTGTGGGCATTGAAGCTTCAGGTTCAGGGATGTGAGGTCTGGTCATTTTAGTAATGTCAAGCCCGGCTAGCCCTTGGGTAGAATCTGGGTTAGGCATCTCAGCCTCTGAGTCTGTGGAGACCCCTTTTGGACTTGTGGGACATGACATGCTCAGTTTCTTTTACAAAGGCAGGGAGTGGATGGTGTCCTGCATTGTAATGTCAAGCACTTCTGTCACTTAGTTGTCCTTTCCTGGGGTCCTGATTTTGCAGACTATGTCCTGTTTTTCCAAAAAGTACATTCCAAAAATTCTGCCCCATCCTTTTCTGTAAGGTTGTTTAATTTCTACTTGGTATTTCAGAAGAGTGTGACATATATTCAAGATGTATTCATCGTCTTGGGTGTATGTTATTAATAAGAATAAGAAAAGAATGGAAAACTTTTTAAAATTATGCTGGTGACTAAGCTGTTACTACTAGCACTTCACTTCTAAAGGCACTTAAATATTGAATTTAATATAGTTTGATTGTTGAATGTAGTGTTTGCTGAAGTTTACAAAGGATCTAAATGATGACATGTTCAGTTTCCAGTCCGAATGTGTTTTTCCTTTGTTCCTTCTGCATTTCTTTCTTCCAGATAAAATTACGTAAGGAAGATGATAATGGTAGTGTAGCTGCATGGTGCCTTTTAATTGCTTCTTGCCCTTTTGGCTAAGATCAAACATTGTATCTATTCTTACTAGTTAATTATCTGATACATTCCCTATTTCAAGCCTAAATATTTAATGTTTTTTTTTAATTGTGGGATTTTGAAGGTTTAAGTTTTAAACTTGTAAACCACCGACAGCAAAGCTTACACTAATAGGGAGGAGTCAGTCAGTCAGTCAATGTAATGTAATGTGAAGAGTAATCTATCATGAACCTCATAAATTTTGCAGTCTTCTATAAAACCGTGTTTGAGCAACTGAGATGTAGTAGACATATGTCTCTCTACCATTGGATCAGGTATTGCGTTTTTAATTATCACCTTGTCTCCTTTGACAATAAAGCCTGCCCATTTCATATGGTGTGACTATAACCAGATGCTATTGTCAATTGAGCTTTTTACTGCATGTGAAATAGTTCTAGAAAACAGGCTCTGGTTCCAAGGGAGTTCATGCAGACTTTATGTTGCCGCTAACCCCCCACCTGAACATTCTGGCTGCATACGCTCTTAGAGCATTGCTTCACCTTTATGGCTACTCTGAAACCATGCAAACTTCGAGAAACCACATTTTTCTACTTTGCAACTATCACAAGCATCTCTATACAGGATCATTTTTTCTAGATGTGCATTTGCAGATATTCTTGTTCATGCAATAATTACCCCTAGGATCATCATTAAAACTGCAAGTATAAGGAATGTTCCAGTTAACTTTGTGAAGCCTGAAATGTGAAATAGCCCATCTACACTGTCCTGATTTCTTTTAAATATTATGCAGATGGATTGATGGCTTGTAGCCAACTATGTCGAGAAACATTTTTAACTTATAATTCTTTCTTCTTTGTTCTAGGACTACCACTGGCAGTGGCGTTCATTTCTTACTAGTGGCTTCACTGCTGTTTATTTTCTAATATATGCAGTGCACTATTTCTTTTCCAAACTTCAAATTACGGGTACAGCAAGCACCATTTTATACTTTGGCTACACCATGATAATGGTTTTGATATTCTTCCTTTTTACAGGTAAATACACACAAACCACACACACGCACAAGATTATTATTATTATTATATATAATAGTACTGAAACTTCAGGTTATAGGGGGACCCTAATTGAAATAAACACTGGGCAGAGTCTTGTTACTTGTATATAGTAGCATTAGTCAAACAACAAAAATTGCAGTTGTGAATTGCCACGAGTTAAGAAGTCAACGTTTGTATTCCTTGTCATGCACCATGTCATGTAGTTTGTGTCAAGTGTTGACTTCTTAACGGTGGCAATTCACAGATGCAATTGCAGTTTCCTCAGTTTGACCTGTCTGATGTAGGTAATAGGATTCTGGCCACTCTGCAGAATCATGTGCATTTATTTTAAATAATTAGAATTTTTAATAAAAATCATATCTTTTATATCATAAAACCTTCTATTTAAAGTGGTCTCGAAATTATATATACACTGTTACTGTGGATCTGAACTGGTTTTGTCATTTAGATCAGTGGTCTCCTGGAAGCTTCCAAATGTGAATACAGGAAATAGGGCCCAGTTGTGCACATAGAACCCTCTCAACTGTATTTGTTTCATTGACATTTGAATACACATCCTGTGTGCTAATGGCAGCATGTTGGGGACTGTGGATTCCCTTTGGCCATAGAATGCAGATCATTATAGAAGAGAGAAAGTGCCAGGGGTTTGGTGAGGAGCGGAAATGAGCTGAGTACCCTGGAAAATAATATAGATGATTGGCACTTCGCACTGGCATATGCTGTTTCAAGTTTCTGTTTCAGTGCAGTATTAGCCTAGTTGCACTGGCTAATACTCAACCTGTGCAGTTCTTTTTGTGCAACAGTTGAATGAAAATACCTTTAATTCCCCTTCTGCAGATCCTATAGTTTAGAAAAAGTCACTTTAAGTACTAGTCATTTGTTTGGGAGGTAGGGAGGACACATTTGTTGATTTTTACACCAAGTGACTTGAGTACTTTTTCAAACATATCTTTCTAATAGGACATTCATTTTATAAATAGTAGTTACCAACTTAAACATATAATAGTATGCTTCAAAAATCAACACTTCATCGTAGCTGCATGGGAAATGAAGCATACAGATTAAACACCTTCAGTTTAAGCACTCTGCCTACCTGGGGATTATTCATAAGTCTATTGTATCTCTCATGACATTTTGGGATGTGTCACAAAGTATAGATTCATGGTATACCTATTGTAGTGCACCCTCTCTCTGTATGATGCCCACCAGTTGTTTAGGACTATAGCTCACATCATCCAGGACCATTAGCCATATTGGCTGAAACTGATGAAAGTTGAAATCCAAAGCATCTAGAGACCACCATCTTGGAAGATGTTAGAAATGTGTGAGTTTACTTAAACTGTAACATACAGGATTTCTGTTTTATTTTTAAAAAAAGAGATATGTCCACCAAGAATACATTTATTTAATATGAAAAATAGCTTCAGAATATTATGATACAACACTATAATCTTAAACTGTAATGGCCTGTATTACCTAGAGAACTGGGTTCTTCAAATATAAGGTTTCAAGTACAGTGTTATCTCTTGAAGCTATTCTACTAGGGGATGCTGATAAGTATTGAAACTTGCCCAGAAAAAAATTGAGCTCGAAAACTATAAATTGCAGGGTATATTGGCCAACAGAAAAAAATTGAGCTAGAAAACTATAAATTGCAGGGTATATAGGCCAATTTGTCTGTATTCAACGGTGAAAAAAATCAACTACCTATGATTTTAATTTAACTTTCATTTTCTGGTCCAAAGTGAACATGGCGGAACCTCCAGAAAAGTTCAATGTGGAAGGGCATAGGACCATAATCTTTCTCTTGTTTCTCCAAGAGAAAGATACAATTGAGCTAGAAAACTATAAATTGCAGGGTATATAGGCCAATTTGTCTGTATTCAACGGTGAAAAAAATCAACTACCTATGATTTTAATTTAACTTTCATTTTCTGGTCCAAAGTGAACATGGCGGAACCTCCAGAAAAGTTCAATGTGGAAGGGCATAGGACCATAATCTTTCTCTTGTTTCTCCAAGAGAAAGATACAAAGCAGATCCATGATGAAATGTCACAAACTAGGGGTGACAGTGGCCCGTCATGTGCAACAGTTAAACGTTGGGTTGTCAATTTTAAAACTGGCCATTTCGGTGTTCAAAGTGAGAAACCCAGTGGAAGGCCTGTTTCTGTCTCTGTACCTGCCAATGTGAAAGCTATCCATGACATGATCATGGAGGACCACTGAATATCAGCCAGAAGTATTGCTATATATCTGAGAATATCATGTGAGAGAGTTGGTGCCATTATCCACAACAACTTGGAAATGAGAAAGCTGACAGCAAAGTGGATCCCCAAACTTTTGACACCCGAGCAAAAGAGCAAACGTGTGGAGTCATCGGTGGCTGTTTTGGAACATTTTGCAAGAAATGAGTCAGATTTCCTGGGCAAACTGGTAACTGGTGATGAGACATGGATCTACTGTCATAATCCTGAGACAAAGGAACAGTCTAAGGACAGTGCACAGTGGTTCCCCCAAGCCAAAGAAGTTCCCAGTGCAAGGGTTGGTGCAGAAGCAAATGGCAACAGTTTTTGGGATAAGAAGGGAGTTCTGCTGGTGGACTACCTCCAACAGGGTTCAACCATCAATGCAAAATATTACTGTGCTTTATTGACGAACTTGAGGCAAACATCAAGCAAATATGTCTAGGAAAGCTCTCCAAAGGTGTCAACCTCTTGCATGACAACGCCTTGTCACACACTGCACGTGAAACACTGGCAAAACTGATGTCCTTAGGCTTTCAAGTGATGCCCCATCCACCCTATTCTCCCAACCTGGCTCCTTCTGACTATTATCTGTTCCCCAAACTCAAAAAACACCTCAAGGGACAACAATTTAAATATGTCTAGGAAAGCTCTCCAAAGGTGTCAACCTCTTGCATGACAACGCCTTGTCACACACTGCACGTGAAACACTGGCAAAACTGATGTCCTTAGGCTTTCAAGTGATGCCCCATCCACCCTATTCTCCCAACCTGGCTCCTTCTGACTATTATCTGTTCCCCAAACTCAAAAAACACCTCAAGGGACAACAATTTGGGAGTGTTCTGGAGGCAACTAATGCTGCAAATGAATGGTTACACCAGCGGTCGGAAGAATTTTATTTGCAGGGACTTAAGAAGCTGCAGGACAGGTGTCACAAATGCATTGACTTCCTGGGGGAATATGTAGGATAGTGTGGAAGTTACAGCTTCCTAGCTCAGTTTTTTCTGGGAAAGGCTCAATACTTATCAGCACGCCCTCGTATATAAGAAGATAGTTTGTTTCCATTGTAGCAGCATGTTCAAATTATTCTCTTTTTTTCATGGATTATCATTGCTCCACTAGAAGAGATTTAGTAGTTTTGTAGTCTTTTACTGTGCATTTCAATGAATGTTTAAAAGGAAAAAAGAAGCAGTATATCATAAGGGGGACGCCGTAAATTTCATTAGGCTAAAATGAGACTATCCTTGCAAGTTACCAAAAATTACACATACGCAAGGCCCCAAAGGCATTTAGCTTTCTGTGTCAAGATGATATAAAAGCTAAAAAGAAAGCCTCATAATTGTTATATCAAAACTATTATATTGCTGCTTACTCATCTGTTAAAAATGGTCAGCCTCAAGAAGGGTTTTGACGGTGCCCTGCTGCTATGTCAGTGTAGCACATGCTTGGGGCACTTGCTCCTCACACTGCATTCCAGGTCATTGATCTGACGCAGCAGGCAAAATACTGGGAGCTATGTGACAAATCTGACTCACAGCTGGGCCCACAACAGTGTCTCAGAGTAAATGAGTCAGTTAAACATCAGTGGCTTTGCTGGTATTCAAAAAAATCAACATGATACCATTCACAGTTCTGTCTGAAATAATCTCACAGAATGAATTTTTACTAAATCTTCATCATGCTTCTTTACAAAAAAATAATAATTAAACACAAAGATTACAATCTGTTATTCAAAAGCAGAAAGTCTCAAAACAAAAAGAGATTGGTACCAGCCTTTTGTAGTTTGTATTATCTTTTAGAAAGCAATCCTGCAGTCATTGGATGATTCCCAACTAATTACATAAAGCACAAACTTTGCTTAACTATTTTAGACATGCTGTACCTATTTATTTATTAGAAATAAATTCTCAAATTTATAAAATCAGTGCCAGTTCCAGCAACTAGGAGCTGCTCAGCAGTTTTTATTTTCAGCATTTCTTCCTTATTGATTTCTTGGAGCAGCTGATTATCTTCAAGTCATGAGCAGACCATCAAATGTTCTACTCTTCAGTAGCCTTCAGTTATGGAAAGCTATACTTTAGGAGATGGCATACAGTCATGCTGGACTATGTTGGCCAAGAATTACAGTCAGATAATTAATTATGTAGTCAGACTATTTAGTTGGCCAAGAATTACAGATAATTAATTATGTAGTCAGACTATTTGTGCTTCTTTAACACTATGTATGTAGTTACCACAACAGCAGTAGCAGCTAAGCAGATACACCTTCTGTACTTTACTATCCAGAGAGCAACTCCTTGCCTCTAGTCTTCCCCATTGGCTGTTTCCTACTCCCTATGCAGAGCTATTCCCCTTTATATAGAGGTGAGGACTTTCCCAGCTGCTGCTTCAATAGGTGATGTAGAATCATAACAGGCTTTTTCCTTTTCCTGTGCCCCTTACATCTACATACAACCATACAAAGTAGCTTTTTTCCATTTTTTGGGTATATAGCTGTCAGGAAAAAAACGGTGTTGTCCTTTTGGTATTGGATGTACATTCATTACAGCTGTGATGTTAATGGGCAGGTCCTTGCAAGTAGACATCTTTGTATTCACTGCTTAATTCAGAATAAATAGGCATAGGATGCAGCTTTATAATGTATTTTCTTACGACGTGGAAAATTAAAGAGGGGGATGCTCTCACTTAGAAACTGGACAAAGGATTTTTTTTCTCCTTAAATTATGAATAGGAATGATCTGGCTTGAATTCCACATTTTAATTGATGGCAGAGATTGATATGGCAGTGGTTCCCAAGCTTAGGTATTCTTGGACTGCAACTCCCAGAACCGTTCACCATTAGCTGTGCTGGCCGGAGTTTCTGGGAATTGCAGTGCAAGAACACCTGGGTTACCCAACTTTGGAAACTATTGTTCTATGGCTACCATGGAGGGAAAAAAATCCAATTTTAAATGTCTTCCTTTAAAAAAATGTTTTCAGCTGTTTCATCATCCACCTCTACCAGCTTATTATGATTAAGGAAATACCTAGAGAGAGTAAGGCAGAGACTCCCATCTCCCTCTTTTAGTGCTTAAAGCTCCAAAAAGCTTCCTAAAAGAATAAGTACAGTATAGTCTTAAGTACTGTGCCGATGCTGTATCACAGTTCATGAAAGTAACTCAGTGATATAAATTTATTATTTATTTATTTATTTATTTATTTATTTATTTATTTATTTATTTATTTGACTTGTATGCCGCCCACACCCTACAATGGTCTCTCGGCGGCTGTGCAGAGGTTTCTTTTAGGCAGAAGAGGCTGTGTAGGAAGGAAAAAATTTTCATTGTTATTAAACACAGTAATCTATCCATGTTTGTTGTAACTTTTAGTACAGCGTTATTTGCTGTATTTTTGATGCAGTGTGTTCTTCTCTGTTTACAGGAACAATTGGATTCTTTGCATGTTTTTGGTTTGTGACCAAAATATACAGTGTGGTGAAAGTTGACTGAAGAAACTGTCATATAAAATACAGAAGCTATCAATCTAATTTAAAAACAAGCCCTTGGAGAAAAAAAATTAAGCTTTATCTGAAGTACTGATTTATTTACTTTGAATGATACTGAATATACATTTTTCCCACTCAAATATTTGTATTGTAACTTTGAAATCTGTTTCCACTTGGGTGTTCTTAATGAACTTTGAAATTAAATATTGTATGCTTTTGTAAATATTGCTGTTCTAGAGCTTTTAAAGTCTAATGACAAGCTTGAAGTGATTGCATTACAGAATTTAATGATCCTTTTAAAAATATGGTTGTAAATATTTTGTAGGCCAGGATCTAACATTGTGCTAACATACTTCTGCTAATACTACATGACTTCCCTCCTACTGTTCTCTACAGAGCCCAAAAATATGTTCCAGAGAATTTCCCAGCACTCCAGAGCAAATTTTGAGAGTGCATGAGTTGAAGGCAATTGCCTGTCCCTAGTTCTTCTGATAGAACTGCTTGATCAGCAGAATGACACAATTGTGTCCTGGCCCTGAGTTTGTTGGGTGGGGTTTAACTTGTTCTCTAATGGGGGAAAACCAATTTTCCATCATGATTTTGAAGTTTGACTGACTGTTGCTCTGAATTTGAGTGTTTTATATTGGAGCTGTGGCCATGAATCCTTCTTCTTATTTGTGACTTCATTGGGTTCTCGTTGTATTGGCCTTTTAAAATATGTGCCTCTTGAGTGTTGGAATCCACATATTCATAGTTTCTAATAAACATCGTAATTTTTTTCAGTGGATCATTACACATTATAAATAGATCCATGAAATTCTGTAAATAAAAATATATTGATGAGATTTTTTAAAAAATATGTAGATTATTTTATTTTGTTAAAATCCAGGTTGTTCTAACATTTTTGGTTCATCTTTGGTGTTACATAAATACAACACTCATGTATTCTGTAAGAATGACATTTTATAATTGCACTGGTGTGTCAATCTTAATCAGCTAGCATAACTAAATTAAGAGGTTGAATAATATGTTGAATAGATCTGCATACAAAGGAAGATGCACTGCCAAGTCTGTTCAGGACAGATTTAAATGAAACATATTATGTAGAGTGGCTGAGGGCTTTGTTCTTTTGACATACACAAGCAGACACACTGCTTGCTTTGCGTCAAATAGAGTTAAATTTCCTACATATAGAATTAAAATTAATCCATGTGCATCTTTGAAAATTGCAGTGGAAACATGTTTTTATCTTGTTCAGTTACTTGAGTGTAATGGTTCATCTGTTAGTAAAACCTCTCCTGCTTCAAAAGATTCCATCTGCTGCAGTGTAACTGCACATTTTGGGCTGGGAAGGTACAGTTAGGTAGAAGAACTAAAGTTTTTCTAATGTTCTTAATATCATAATTAATGATGCTTGAGTATTAAAATCCAATAAAATATCTTTTGTTAATAATGCCATTCTTTAGATTGGACTTGTAAACAACTATGCACCCTGTACAATTAAACTAGGATGTTACATGTGGCAAATGTATATTACATATCTTGGTTTAATTAATAATAATAATAATTTATTGTCATTTGGTTTAATTAAAAGCCAGACTCGTACTTTGCTGTGTAGTTTAGGACTGGGAGCTTACTGCCTTCTCCTAATTAAAGGAGAAGCTTTGTTTCTTTCTACCAGAGCTTGAAATTGGCTTTATGTTTTGTATGAGCAAAGCAGCAGTAGAAATGAACTGATCAAAGGCAAGATTGCAGCTGGAAGGACCTTATCCAAATAGGGCTAGTGCCCCAAACCATCTGATGAGGGAAAGCTGAACCAGTTCTTCCCACTAGTACTGTTTCCTTTTGCATTGGTGGGCCATTGTGGATTTTGTTTTCAGCCTCTTCCTTTGGTAGATCTGAGAAAGACTGATACAAATTCTGTCTGTGTATACAACAAGACTTTCGTGGGACCCCTACTCCAACTCCACTGCAATTCCTGTGTTTTTGCCCCAAAAACTGCTGTCCAAGATTTATAGACCTACCACAGCAATATGTGAGGGAGCACTAGGATAAGGCATCATCCTTCTGCAGCTGGTTAAGTACACTGAAGGAATTTGGTGGGATCACCTTTTTGCTTGCATAATGCAAGTCGAGATCCAGTTCTTTTTGATTTGGATCAAATGCCCCCAAAAGTTTCCAGGAAGGAATTAACCAAAAAAAAGGTGCTAACAAAAGAAAGATAGCAAAATCACCATAGAAACACTAGCTACTTAGGTTTTCAACATTTGATTAAATGCTGGTGCTATCTGCTTAATAATTACAGAAGGACTCAGACAAGGTGGTGAGGCAAACATAAGAACAAATGTGCATTTATAGAACAACACATTTACTTGTTCTTTTTTGCCAAATTATTTATAGTTTGAATCTAGATAAGATAGATTAGGCATCCTTCAGTCTCGAGAGACTATGGTAATGTGCTCTGAATAGAGGGAATAGCGTCTAGTGTGGCTAAGATGGTCAATTCGAGAGTGACAGTTCCTTCTACACTGAAAACAAATACAATCTGTCCCCTGTCCAGATCCCTGATTTTGCTGATTTTGGGCCTGCCCCTTTGCCTTGGCCTACTGAACAAGTGGCTCTTCAAATTGGGAGAGGCCATGCTGCACAGCCTGCCTCCAGGCTGAATGCTCGGATGTCAAGGTTTTCCATCTCTTGAGGTGCATTCCTAAGGCCTTCAGATCACACTTGCAGGTATCCTTGTATTGCAGCTGTGGGCTCCCTCTGGGGCGATTTCCCTGCACTAATTCTCCATATAGGAGATCCTTTGGAATCCGACCATCAGCCATTCTCACGACGTGCCCAAGCCAACGTAGACATCGCTGTTTCAGTAATATATACATGCTAAAAAATCCAGCTCGATCTAGGACTACTCTATTTGGAACTTTGTCCTGCCAGGTGATACCAAAAATGTGTTGGAGACAATGCATATGGAACGTGTTCAGCTTCCTCTACTGCCATGCACAAAGGGTCCAGGACTCGCTGCAGTACAGGAGTGTGCTCAGGACACAGGCTTTAGAGACCTGGATTTTGGCATACTGTATGCCATCAGCTTCTTTGATGAAAAAAGGTTTAAAGGTTTGAAGAAAACAAGTCACCATCACCAAGAACAGGCATTTTAGAGTTACTCCTACTATTTTATACTTAATATTGAACTGAAGGTATACAGTGTCCCTCTTTTCTCTAAATGCCTTTTAATTTAACTCTATTAGCATCGAATGCATTTTAAAAATACTGGCTTTGTAACAAAGGAAAAATTAAAAATTTGAAGGGGTCTTAGCTGAGTTAAATTAAGAACAGCTACCATCTTAACACACATTAAACATTCTAAAACTTTTGAAATATATAGTTAAAAATATTATGGCAGAAAGTTTGGCAGAATTGCCTCTTTTTTCTCCTTTCCTGTCAGAAGAGGTGAACGTTTTTCATAAAGTCAGAAATAATTTGAGATATAAATCATGTGTTTATCTTCATTGAGACATGAAACCCTTATTCCGTGTGAAAATAATGACTAATAAAGCCTTGCTGAACAGCACAATCACATTCTTTCTGAATTAAAATAACATACAGAGCAGTAGATCTGATTATCTGCACTCCATTTCAGTTCAAAACAGATTTTATCAGCCATATTTACCAGTTGTGTCTTTATTCTGTAGATCTTAGCAGAACTTAGCAAGAAGGTGTTGCCAGGGAGGAAAAAGCTAAGACAAAAAGTTCATGTTGCCACATTTGAATAAAAATGTAATTTTCTCTCGAGTTTTATGGGGAAAGTGTCATAATATTATAGGTACCTCAAAATGTACATATGCCAAAATTCCCTCCCACTTATGTACTTCTGTTCAGAAGCAGCTGCCATCGTGTTCAGTAGTGCTTACTCTCAGGAAAGTGTGCACAGTGTGTAGGCATCCTTCAGTCTCGAGAGACTATGGTATCGTGCTCTGTATGGAGGTCTTGGAACAGTGTCTTGTGTGGCTGAGAAGGCCAATTTGAGAGTGACAATCCCTTCCACACTGGAGACAAATCCAATCTGTCCCCTGTCCAGCTCCCTGGTTTTGCTTGTTTCGGGACTGCCTCTTTGCCTCAGTCTGCTGTACAAGTGTCTCTTCAAATTGGGAGAGGCCATGATGCACCGCCTGCCTCCAGGCTGAACGCTCAGACGTCATGGTTTCCCATCTGTTGAGGTCCATTCCTAAGGCCTTCAGATCCCGCTTGCAGATGTCCTTGTAACGCAGCTGTGGTCTCCCTCGGGGGCGGCTTCCCTGCACTAATTCTCCATACAGGAGATCTTTTGGAATCCGACCATCAGCCATTCTCACGACGTGCCCAAGCCAACGTAGACGGCGCTGTTTCAATATTGTATACATGCTGAAAATTCCAGCTCGTTCTAGGACTACTCTATTTGGAACTTTGTCCTGCCAGGTGATACCAAAAATGCGTCGGAGACAACGCATATGGAAGGTCTTCAGCTTTCTCTCCTGCTGTGCACAAAGGGTCCAGGACTCGCTGCAGTATAGGAGTGTGCTCAGGACACAGGCTCTATAGACCTGGATTTTGGTGTATGCC